TCTCCAGATACCTATGTTTCCTTTAGACCTTTTTTTCTGCAGCTATCATCTTGCTTCTTCAAGGTATGATATTTGAGAGTCCTCCCTGACTCTTCCTTCTTTATTGTCTCTTATTTTCTCTCTATTCACATCTAACTTCAGTAGAATCTGTCTTCACTGTATCTCTTTCATTCATTTTTTCCTTTCCAGTCCATAGCTGTTACCCTCTTGCAGCCTTATGTTTGAGCATTTGCACCATGGCCAATCTCTGGTGTTCCCTTGACTTTAGTTTCTCTTCTCTTCAGTTCATTCTGCAGACCCATGCCTAGTGAGTTTCCATTATCAATTTTTAAAAGGGCATAACTTGATATTTCTCCAAAGAGGAAATACAGATGGTGAAATAGATATATAAAAAGATGCTAAAGATCACTAATAATCAGAGAAATGCAAACTAAAACCACAATGAGATATTACCTCACACCTGTCAGAATGGCTACCATTGATGAAGCAAAAAACAAGTGCTGGTGAAGATGTGGAGAAAAAGGACCCCTCACACACTGTTGGTGGAATTGCGAATTGGTACAGCCACTATGGAAAACAGTCTGGAGGTTCCTCAAAAAATTAAAAATGGATCTACTTTTTGACCCAGCAATTGCACTTCTGGGTCTTTATCCAAAGAAAACCAATACACAAATCTGTAAAAACCTATGCACCCCTATGTTCACAGCAGCGCTATTCACAATAACCAAGATATGGAAACAACCTAAATGTCCGTCAATAGACAATTGGATAAAGAAGTTGTGGTACATATATACAATAAAATATTACTCAGCCATAAAAAAAATGAAATCCTATCATTTGCAATGATGTAGATAGACCAAGAGGTTATTATGCTGAGAAAAATAAGTCAGAGAGAAAGATAAATACTATATGATTTCACTTATATGCAGAATCTAAGGAACCAAAAGAACGAACTAATCGAAAATAGACTCACAAATACAGAGGACAATTTGGTAACAGCCAGAGCAGAGGGGGATTGGAGGACAGTAGAAAGGGGTGAAGGGTTAAAGAAGCACAAATTAGTAGAGATCTCCAGGGGATGGTGAGCACAGTATAGGGAATGCAGTCAGCAGTATTGTAAAGGCTATGTGTAGAGTTAGATTGGTGCTAATCAGGAGGATCGTTTCATAGACCATATAAATGTCTAACCAATGTACTGTATACTTGAAACTAATAATAAAATAAAAGAACATAACTTCATTCCAGAAATCTCTGTCTCTTACTAACCTGTTTTAGCTTCCCTCACTTTCAGGAGGCGGGGTATCTCCCCTAGCTAGTGCTCTGCCTTGGCCCCTTAAGTGCTTGTCTTTCTCTGAAACTTTGCTCATAACTTTTCTTCTACCAGAGATCACTCCGCCCTCAAACCTGTGTAAATCTTAACCTTCCTTTAAAGTGCTGCTCAAGCTCATCCCGTCCTGAAGGCCTGCATCTCTGGTGGTTTACTCTGTAAATTCGTGAACCTTGGCATTGTCCGCCGCCCCTTCATACCTGGCACAGCTACCTTTGTTCTCCTTCGTGAAAACTAAAGTTCTTTCACTCCACAAAACCATGACAGTGACTTCAAGGTAAAGACCATATCTGGATGCCTTGTTCCTAGTGCAGAGCCTAGCACAAAATTGGAATTCAGTGTTTGCTGAATAAAGGGATGAATTAAATAGCGGAGTTAATAATGAATGCCTGCTCTGGCGCTGAGACACACAACCTGTGAGAAAGAGCTCTAAGTCTAAGAAACTTAAGGCGGGCAACGGTTGCAGGTCGGCGGATGTCCTCAGTCAAGGAGAAAAGCGAGTGCAGATGTCTCAGTTTCAGCCAAGAGATCTAGGGGCAGGGGGCAGAGTCTTTCATTGTCTTAGACTGTATTGGGTTAGGCAGATTTCTCTAGTCTTAAAATAGTGGTGGTCTCTGTTACTGACCACCACTCTGCTCTATCCCCAGCAAGAATCTGCAGACTGAATTCCAATAATTGGGAAACAGATCGAGGAAACATTCAAATTTTGTTTGCTATCAAAATTCGGACGCTCTAATAAAAGCCCAGCATAAAAACATTCCTTTTTACAAAAGAACCAGAAGATGAAGTCTAAGGCCCTATAGCTCAGGGGTTAGAGCACTGGTCTTGTAAACCAGGGGTCGCGAGTTCAAATCTCGCTGGGGCCTAGCTAGTAATTCTTATTTCAATTTCTTCTTACCCATCGATTCCTTGTCTCTGGTAACTTTGACCCTTGTGGAAATCTGGCTCAGTATATCTTCTCGCCGCCCTCCAGACCTCCCGAATAAACACCGCTGAGCAGAACCGCTTCCTCTCAGGTTCCTACGCTACCGCGTAAGTACTGTTTTGCTGCCTTGCCTGGATTGTGGCAGAACACAGTACACCACGCGGAAAGCCCTGCTGGCGTGTGCGGACTTGCGCGCTGCGAGAACCGCGAGGGCGGCTGGAACCCAAGCGGGGATGAGGGCGACTGGAACCCAAGCGGGGATGAGGGCGGTGGGAGAAGAGAATAGGAGAGAGCCCTCAACAGCCGCTCTGGGCAGGCTTGCATTCCGGAACAAGGGCCTCCTGGCTGTGTCAGCCGTCCGGGTTAGGCGTGCGGGAGAATGCAGGCAGTCTGGCGAGGTCTCATGATTCAGTGGGCTTTCCAACACTTCAGAATTTCAGCGGAGAATATTCAGGTCGAGACTTGGGTCACTAAATTTGTTATTGACCCAGAGAAACTGTGCCTTCCTCTTTGGAAAACCTTAAAATATTTTCATCAAAAGTCAATTCTTACAGAAACACTGGGCTTACCCGTCTGTATACTCAGTTCCACATCCTCTGCGTCCCGGAGTCTGCGGACGTGTGAACCGAAGAGAGCTGCAGCTGGTCTGTGCTGACGCGCCTGGGTTCAGAGGTGAGTGCAGGAAGTGAGGAAAATAGGGGAGGCCCAGGCCGGAGCCCCGAGGCCCGCGCCCATTTCCCTGACTCGAAGTTGCACGGTCAGAATTGTGTGTCCCACCGCCCCAGGCCCTAGTTCTCTGACGCCCGAGGGGCCGCTCTACTCTAGACACACACCATGCCAGGGAGGCCCCGGGCCCGCGCGCTACGTGAAGATCCCTTTCAGCGAACAGATCCCTCACCCTCCGCGGGCGGCCTCGGGATTCACGGGCTCTAGAGGCGCCTGTAAAGAGCCCCTCAGTGAAACAGGAGAACCCAACTCTAGAAGGGTTGTCCCCAGAACTGAGGATGTAGGACGTTCTCACAAGATAGTTATATCGCTGTGTCCGCCCGCCAGTAACCAGAAGACCTTCCCCCAACCACCTCTGTTTTACAATGTTCTCTGAGCAGGAGATTCCAGGAAGCAAGTTTCAGGGTTCCCTTCGATAGCTCAGCTGGTAGAGCGGAGGACTGTAGCATCTTCCTATGTTGTCATCCTTAGGTCGCTGGTTCGATTCCGGCTCGAAGGACGAGCTGTCATTTTTGGGCTGCCTCTGCGCTACGTTTCTTCCGTTCTTCAGCATTTGGAGTCCCTTTCTTCAGACCTTACTGCAGTCCTCCCAAAAAACTTAGCTTAGTCGCTGGAACTTGAACTTCGCGCATCTCATCTGGCTAATAACAGTGAGGAGTGACATATAACAACCAGCTGGAAAGTTTCTGATTTTCCTCTAAGATGTTCTTTCTTTTTGCTTCTGGTTGATCTTAGGTTGCTGCCTGAGGTCCAAAGGTCTGAGACCCAAGGCCACCCGCAGGTACACCTGCGGCCCTTGGGACTAATTTGCGGAACAAATCTCTTAACTGTGACCTTCAGCCTGAGTGTCTGACCCCATTCTATACACACATCCAAGTAGAAATAGGTCCTTTTAATTTACTTAGCTGTTAGTATATTTTTATAGTTCCATGAAAAGATTTTGAGCTGGAACAGGAATAAGGGACAGAATTTGACGTGAACTGGAGAGAGAATTCCAGACCGAGGAAACAATTAAAGCAAAGATGGGGAGATGGAAAACTTGATGTTCATTCAGGGAAACAGCGAGGGGACTGGAACATCTCAACACGCGCATCCGACCGACTCTGGCTCCCCGTATTTTGATGCCCACAAGTCCTTGCCTAGGATTTAATGCTCCTGCGAGGTAGTAGCAGAGCGACAGATACAGTTCCCGTGTGTCTGTCCTGGAGCTCAGGACCGTACAGCCTTGGAACCGAGCCTCGCTCGGGCCCTCGGGCTCCAACCCAGTTCCCTCCAGACTCGAGCTCGTAGCTAGAGCCGTCTTGGGCGGGGCTCAGTGGAACTCAGAAAAGTGGCCTAAAGTCTGAAAAGCTGTGTCTCCTCAACCCATCTGGCATCTGGAAGAGTCCAGGACGTGGATCAGGGAGAATATGCTAGACTAGGGCCAGAATCAGATGTAAAACGATGAAAATGGGAGGGAAAACTAAGCGAAGCAAAAGGTAACTTTCACAACAAAGAACAAAACTCCGGAGTAGCCTGGCAGCCAAATACTGATGAGAAAGAAAAACTCAGAGGAAACAGGGGCGCTTTGTATTCCCTATGGCTCGTTGGTCTAGGGGTATGATTCTCGCTTTGGGTGCGAGAGGTCCCGGGTTCAAATCCCGGACGAGCCCAAGCTTTTTAAATTTCCTCTCCCTACTTTGGAGAACTACTGAAAAACAGTTCTGTCCTGTACAAACTTTCTCGTGTTCCGCACTGTTCTGCAAAAGATACACTAAATGAACACGTGGCAGATGAGGCTGATGACCTGTGCGGGACGAAAATGCCTGGCTTCCTGGACTTCCCTGGAAGCAGAGCCTGCGTGGTGCCTGGCTCCTGGGAGCAGGGAAGGTTGTTTGCGTTCTGCTGCCCCTGCAGTCCGTGTTTTCGAGGACTTTGCATCTCGGACTCAGACCTCCAGGCGCTCTCCCCGCCCAAGCAGGGAACCTCCCCACTGAGCCTGGGGCGGGGGCTGCTGTGGCGCCTCCTCCCAAGAAAAGTCCAGACGCGAGGGACCTCCTTCGAGAAACAGAGCGCGGTCCCATCTACCAGGGGCTCGCCAGCCAACCTTCCTCACCTCGCTGCACCCCCATCCCATCCGTGTACACACACAAACGCTCGCTGACCCCACGCAGATCCAAAGCAGAAATCAAAACATACCAGTTCCTCATCGTCATAGAAAGGAGGAAGAAGCGGGTGAGAAATAAAAACGTCTCTTTTCACTGTCCTGCCCGTTTCTGCAGCTTTGTTTCTAGGCCCAGGTGAGTTCACACTTCTGCTCCTCCTTCTCCTCCCTGTCGGTAGCTTTGCCAGGGGCATTTTGGTCGGGAGAGCCCCTTCTTAGCATAAGCCTTGTGGGGCTCCTCCGGGAGGAGTTTTGGGGACCGAACTGGAGGAACTGAGGCATGTGAAGGAAGGTAAAAGTGCAGTTCTTGTAGTTAGAGATTCTACGTTCCCACCCTATGAACAGAGGCGGCAATATGAATGCCTATTGCCTAGAACGTGGGCTTCAAGGAGACGATTGCGTTGGCGAAACCAAGGGCGGCCCGGGGAGGCCTGCACTTGATCAAACTAAGGATTCTTTGTTTGGCACCCAGGTTGATTACCAGATTTATGAAGCAAGCTTTACCTCGGTTTTTTTGCAAGCAAAACTGACATGGAGACTGGTGTTTTGGTTTTCTGTTTGCTCACCCTTGTCTCCTCACCCTTAGCCAACCCTCACTCACTGCTGTGAAATTCTTGGAGCCACTGTCGACAGCCTCTTCTTTAAGCTTTCTTACTGGAGCATTCTTCCTCAACTTTATTACCATGAGAAGCACATCAAATGATAACAGCACATGGACATAACAGGACATCTTTACTTAGGAAGGACAGTAAAAACAGTTTCAGCACCATTCTGGAGACTAGGGAAATCTCAAATGAGCCAAGACCTTCCCTCTGTGTCATCAAGAACCTTAAAATGAAGTCATAAATGTAATCACTAGAAACCCAAGTGACATAATTATCATGACAGCACATGGCCAACTTCCCAGAAGCAGCCTCAGGTATTCAAAGAGCTACTTAACTACACAGCTACTAACTAGTTAGTCAGTGCAGAAAGATACTTTATTTCAAGCAACTTTTTTACAGATAAAGGGGGAGTAAAATATTTTTGGAATTTATGGAAATATTCAAAGTAGTTTTCCCTTAAACGGCAAATTAGCCTTGGTTTTCTAGAAATTACTAGTATAGAGTATGAAAGCTGTGTAGTGGTGTATTGGAAAGCTTCCAGTTCTAGGAACACTGGATGTTCTTTGGGCAATACATGTTCTCTTTTTGTTCCTCAGTTTCCTCATCTGTAAAATGAGTTAACAGATGGACTTCGAGGTACCTCTCTTTTTCATTCTATGACTGCATGGGGTGGTCAGGTATTGTAAAAGAACTCTCATTAATAAAAGAAGAAGAAGAAAGCATGCCAGGAAAAGAGGAATGGCTCTGACTACTGTCGAAAGTGCAGATGCCAGGTTTGAGCAGGTGAAGGTAAGAGGCTTGTCAAGTTATTGTTGGAAGCATTTACCAGTATAATTCATAAAGTAGGTGGCTAAGAAAGTGGACCAAAGCAGGCCAGCGAAACCCCTCTTTAGGAGTTTTTATTATACTGTATTCGAACGAAGAGCAATCTCTGTAAATAGTTATTCACAGAATACCTTGAAATATCTGGGAAAGAGAGAATGGGCACAAAGCCCAGAGTTTGTTGAAAAGCGAAATGATTAATTTTATCTGTTTGGAAATATTGAGATGTCAGCAGATCTTTGTTCCCATTCTCCCTCTATCAATATTGTCTCTCCTTCCTGGAGATGGAGGCATGATCCTTCTTTTTTATATGAGCTTGATCCTCTTTTAACTATTCTTTTACTTAATAAGTTTCATGCTTATAGGCCTAAAATACGTAAGAGTTATAAAGGAAATTACAGATTAACCCCTTCCCTCCATCACCTAATTTTAAAATTAGCCTTAAGGACAGAATTAAACATGTACTTTGCATAAGGAAGGAAAGTATACCAACCCTAGAATCCTTAGAAGAGAACCCATGCTTCTTGTGTTTATGCGCAGGGAATCTATTGACTTGAAGAAGAGACAAAGAAAAACATTTCAGAAGAAGGGGACTAACTTTCAAGTTCAAGCTATCAGAACATTTTTGAAATATGTTTTTCAATTGGCAGTTGCTTCACACCTATTAAAATCACTGACAAAAATATAATTTTCATTAATCATAGACTATAATTCCTTGTATTTTGAAACACAAATGAGTAAGCATTTAGATGCATTTTAATGAAATCATAAATTTTTCCCCTTAAGCCTGTTTCATGATAAACTCATTGTGCCAAGCTGAAAATAAAAACAATTAGTCTACGTCCATGCCACCCTGAACAAGCCCAATCCCGTCCGATCTTGGAAGCTAAGCAGGGTAGGGCCTGGTTAGTACTTGGATGGGAGAACACCTAGGAAGACCAGGTGCTGTAGGCATAAAAAAATAAAAAATAAGGGATTGTAAGCTGACAAGGTCCTTGCTTTCTGTGAGGTCAACCAAGGGTTGCCTCCCCTAAAAAACAAAACAAAACAAAACAATTAGAATGAAAGTAAGTAGCCATTCACTATTCACCTGACTCTGCATTGTCAAAGTTGTAGGCGGATTGAGAATTCTCCCAAGGCTGTCCAGTGAAATCCTAGAGGCAAAGATAGGATGCAGCTGTGTTCAGAAGCTGGTGACTGCTCCCCAGGACCACTTCGTAACTCTAAAATCAAAGGCTGATCCTTTTGTGTGAATTGATGCTTGAACTGGTGTTTCAAGCCATGGGACTGTGTGTGTGTGTGTGTGTGTGTGTGTGTGTGTGTGTAATGTTGAGTGGGGTACTTTATCTCTGCTTTTAGCTGATGTATCAGAGAAGGGTTGTGTTGATCCAATCACCCTGATCCCCACAGGCTGTGCGAGTTGACTGCTGCTCCCTTCTTCTGCGACTGCTGAGGCAATCAGGGTGTTGCAGTGGCCCTGGCAGCTGTCTTCCCTAATAAATGACTGGTTGATAAGTTTTTAGAACTCATTTCTTTAGTGTCTCTTTAAAAAGTGATATGTGATTAATTTAAAATAGGCACCACTCTCATATAGCTGGTCTGCCCACAAAAGGAAGGTAAGCATTTGGGCACTCTGCTAGATGCCAATAGAGATCCCACTCTAAGGGCCCCATGTCCTGTTACTTCTCTTGCTCCTGAAAGACTTTGAACTTTGGTGTTTGGCAGAACAAATGGTTAGAGACGTGCCTGTCCCTTCCTTTCCAGAAACTTCAGTAACCGCGAGGCACCAGGTACAGAGAGAAAGGCAGTTTGTGGCAGTTTGCTTGGTCCTCTTCTCACTACCCCCAGCTTTTTTCCTTTTAGCTCAATATTTGGTTGGGGATGCAGGAAAGAAGGGAGAAGACAGAGGTAACAAGAAAAGCTCAGGCAGGACTGTGTCCCAACATAAGTGAAAAGCAGGTAAAGTTTGTCCTTTTTCAGGTTCTCCATGCTGCCCACTTTTCTTCTTCCTTAAATCCTGAGGCCCTTCCAGTTACCAAAAACTATTCTTACGATATGCTCTAGAGCGCATGCCCAAGAACGTGTAACTCATTGACGGCTATTCAAAGAATTAATCTCTCCTAGAGATTTTTGCATTGGAATGGGGACCAATACCTCAGAAATGAAGGTATTTCGATGGGCTCTATTTATCAGTAAGGTAGAAGCAGAGCTTTCCTGGAACCTTTGGAAGCCTTCTTGTTTTACCTGAGAATCAGGCCTGCCTTGTTTGGTAACTGCTACCAAACCCAGCTGTGTCAATGAACCTTCAGAGAAGCCAGGAGAGATTGCACGGTTGTGGTGTCCAAAGTGAGATCAGAGAGTGCATTCCTAGACCAGGAGGGATAACAAAAAGAACTTGGTGGCTTGGAGTCAGTCTCTGTTTTAGAAACTAAGATTGTAGAGATGAGTAAGATAATTATTCTTCTCTCAAAGGATTCTATCTAATGGAGAGTTTAGATAGAAAGGATTCTATCTAAAGGAGATTAATTAACCATTAAAGGAGTGATGATTATCAGTGTTTCAGCATGGTGGAGATAATCAGTTTTGCACTTGCTACAAGGAACAGAAGATCGAGTACTCAGGGTTAATCTCTTTGATGATTAGGATGAAAGGAAGGAGAAGCCCAGGAAATACAGCAAGAATATTTCTGAAGGTTAGTAGCTGGGAGATTGAGGTCAGGGGCAGGCTACTAATAGCTGTCACATTACCCTTTTTAGAAGTGCTTTCCTGGTTCTGTGAAATCTATGGAATAACCTACTTATTGGCATGGCATCCTTTCGTGAAACCAAATTATGTGTGTAAATAGAAAGTACAATGAAGAGCCTCCTGCTGGGAGATCCCATTTACTCTGGGCTTCTTCCAAGGCAGTTCTTGGAGTTGGCACATAGATCGGAAACAACATCTTCTGGATCTAGGTCATTGCATGTGAACAATGAAACCTTGGTCCTGTCGTGGGCAGTTGTAAGAACCACAGACATCAGAAAAAAAGCAGCTTTGGGACAAAGGGCCATGTTTATCAATATCAAACTTTGCTTCCCAGAACAAATCTCTAATCCTTTCCAGTGGCTTAATATTTGACCCAGTCATGCCCAGGGAAGTAGTGAATGACTGACTCTCCTTGTTTGTCTAAGAGCAGTGTGCTTCATTTTCACATCTCTGCCAGGATCGGGGATCTTTGGAATTAGTCTCCCCAGCCAGTTCATTTGATCACTCTAAATCAGAACCAGAGGGGCCTCTAGGTTCAGACAACTGGAACCCATCTCCAGGAACAAACAGCCAGAAGCTGCCTTCAGTCAGAAGGCAATTTCCAGATTTTTGTAAGATCCTTACCCCTGGGTAATCTATCATTCTGTTTATCTATATATACTATTTCTAGCCATCTGTCCATTTCAGTGAAACCATTTTCTTCCCCTTTAAAGCCTCCGGGTGCAAACTCATGAATTAAAGAGAAAAGGCATCAGATTCTAAAATTCAAAATGAAAACAGATTTCTTTGGAGATAGCCTTTATGTGGATAAAGGGAAATTAGTGAGACTGGGAGCAAGTGGAGGTTTAGGAGAGATTCCTGAATTGTGATAAAATCTCCGAAGACCTGGGGAAGCCATTTGCTGAAGGGCATGTGAAGCCCCCTCCCCACCCCACTCTCATACAGGCATTTTGATAGAACAAGGAAAGAAACAGAAAGTATGCTTTTAGCTCTGTTTTCTTCCAAACTTCCCTACTAATTTTTTTCTCCTTAAAAAAGTTTGATTGCTCTTTGAGAGCAAAGTGGAACACATCCCAAGATCAAAAGAAGGTACATTGGCAGGTCAAATGGAAGAAAGAAGGAAAGGAGATAAATGGAGGGAATATGCATTGGGTGTTATGCTTTCGCTTTGGAGGATATCACCCTAGTATATATAAAAGTGTGAAGCTACATTTATAGAAATTATAACCACAGTTACTCATCATAGACTGTCAAGGTAACTCCCTGGTGTGTAAAATTGGACGGATCTCTTGAATACAAAACATTACCGATGGAGACAAGAAGAGAATATTAATTCTCGTGAAGACTAAGGGATCCGTTTGAGACAGAGGATAAAGTTAGTCTGTGGAGAGTGCACTGTAAGCTGACAAGGTCCTTGCAGTCTACAAGGGCAGCCAAGGGTTGCCTTGCCTTGCCAAATTCTTTCTGAGAAAAAGGAAGTACAAATGAAGCCGTAGGCAGAAAAACAAGCTGAAGGTCATGACAGGATGTGGCTTTGGGAAAGCAGAAGAAAGTGTTGCTTTGCCTAAGGAAAACTGCTTATGCCAGCAATTGTATGTTCTTGTATAAAAGCAACTTGCAAAAATAAAACTACGCCACTGCTCCATCATCCTTGGACAGTGGACCTCCTAATCCCAACTTTCTGTCTTTTCTTAATCTCCCACCCTTACCACTCAGGTATTTCTCCCGACCTGCGCTGGACACGGCAGGTGGCGCCTGAACAGGGACCTGAGTACGGGAAGACGGGAAGACGCGAAAGGGGTAAATGAGGAGACTCCCTTGGGGAAGTAGATATATAATCAGGAGTAAAACATGGGACAGCAGGAGTCAAAGGACCAATACATTTATGTACAAATGCTTAAGACTATGCTTAGAGCTAGAGGCTGTAAAGTGAAAGGAGAGCAATTAACTGAGTTTTTAAATTTTGTGCAAGAAACTTGTCCTTGCTTCCCAGAGGAAGGAACTGTAAATAGACCTCGGAGAGGACTGGGAAGCAATTACAAGGGCGCTATACCTCTGAAGGGCCCGATACGATCCCCATTACCACATTTTCTCTATGGTCTCTAATAAGGAATTGTCTTGATACCACCCAAGAGGATCAGAGACTCCTGGGGGCAGATGGTGAAGAGTTGTTTACTGCACTGCAAAGGACTTTGGAGGGGTATGAGGACCTTCATACTCCTTCACTGCCTTCTGCTCCTCCACCACCATTGCCTCCTGAGTATGAGCAAGAAATAGAGAGGGAGGCTCGCAGAGATCAGCAGGCTAGGGGAGGAGAGGACACTCAGGAATGTACTTTAACCCGCTGAGTTGGCACCCGCAGGGAAGTTACAAATACTGATGATGGGAAATATGAGTATGTGCATAATCTCTGATCTATATTTGTCTGTGTTATATGTAATATGGTGGTTCAGTTAAGAATTCTAATTATGATGGAAAGGAAAATGTATGGTTTTGGTAACAGAAGGTATAAAGTATAGAGATTTATTTTAAAGAAAATGAAAAGAAAGGTGTTTGTCTTAAAGTTTGTTATTTCTAAATGAGTGAAAAGAGGCAAACTGAAGGAATGAGGAAAGTAGTAGAAGGTTTGTGAAGAGAAATCCTGAGAGGAAATTTTACATGATTAAGCTAAAAAAGATTGGAAATTTAAGTGTCAAAAGTAAACTAATGCAAAATTAAAGTTGTATTTTAATGTTTCTTAGACTATGTCCATAACATCTCAGCTACTGATGTTATGGAAAAGTTTTCTGCTTAATCAAAGTAATTTCTGTGTTTTATGTTGCCTTAACCAGTTTTCTGAGGTTTTTAGAGAATATAATAACATTAGCCCAAAATCTGAAGGCCAGACACTCCTAGCCATACATTTCATGACTCGGTCTGTACCTAATATTCAAAGGAAGTTCCCAAAGTTGGGGCCTAAACTCCAACCCCGCAGGCTGCCTTGGTGCCAGTGGTCTTTAAGGTGTCCAATAATTGGAACTGGGCAGAGAAGGAAGTGAAGTACAAAAAGGGCGCACATTTTAGCTGCCATAATACAGGGACTATCGTGAGGGAGGTGACCCTAGGCAATAAAAACCTTGCAGGCCTGGAGGGCCTTGATCTTCGTTGACCATGAGTGGCATTGTCGGGACTGAGGCATAATCAATGTGCAAACTGCAGAAGGAAGGGCACTGGAAGGGCGAGTGCCCATCCAGCCCTGGACCTTCTAAGCCCTCGCCTCACATAGCAAGACTCTCATGAAGGGGCTGCTCTCTCCTCCAACAACAGAGGCCCAAGCACTTGCAAACTCCAGTCCTAGAAAAATCCACCATGATCACAACAGTAGAACCTCAAGTCACCCTTGACATGGCAGGAAGGAAAAACTGAATTTTTACTAGATACTAGAGCTACCTTCTCTGTCCTGACCCATCCCATAGGCATCTCTCTACAATGCTAACTGCACAGTGACAGGAATAAATAGCCCTCAAGGCAAACAAAAAGGGCCCTACCAAGTTTTGTTACGTTTCCAACTACTGTCAACTTACAAGGAATCAACAACTAGGTACATTTATCTCGAATTAAACCAGTTTCCTATGAGTCTTCACAGGTACACTGGCAGGTCAAAGGGAAGAAAGAAGGAAAGGAGATAAAGGGAGGAATCTGCATTGGGTGTTATGCTTTCACTTTTGAAGATATCATCCTAGTAGTTATAAAAGTGTGAAACTACATTTATAGAAATTATAACCACAGTTACTCATCATAGACTGTCAAGCTAACTCCCTGTGTAAAATTGGACAGATCTCTTGAATACAAAACACTGCCAGTGGAGACAAGAGAATATTAATTCTTGTGAAGACTAAGGGATCGATTTGAGGCAGAGGATAAAGTTAGTCTAAAGAACAGTTGGGACAAATTCCACTGATAAAATTCCACTAACTGACAGTTCTGTGCTTGGGTATGGCAAAATATGTGCGAATGAGTTTGACCACTAGGTGTGAGGCTGTGCACACTCGGCCTAGGCAGATTCGCTTCTTACCACAAGTAATCTATCTTGTACTTGTTTTCTTCCAATACCATTTTACCTCTTTTGGGAAATTAAGAATTGAATATATGAGCGAGGATGTTGTGAATGGGTGAGCAGATGTTAGATACTGGTGGTCACTGTATGTACTGGCTGGGATTTGGTTTCTGGATGTTTTAGGGAGTTGAGATTACAAAAAGCCTGGCAGTGTTTTGTATTCAAGAGATCCAACCAAAATTTAGCTGAGTTGTTACAGAATGAATGTGCAAATTCTGCAGATTAGAAACAAAGATTCTCCTTTACCTCTCCAGACTGGGATGTAAGGCCTTTAACCTCCAACCAGCAAGTGGCTTTGTAGGATGCGAAGCCCCTGTGTAGTGTCAGTCCAGTGCCTTAACTCGAGGTGTTCTGTGAACTTGGCTTGCACACTGAACCTTAAGGAATGATGCATCTCAGTGAGATTGGGCCACAGGTCATCCTATCATCTATTTCTTCCACCTGGTACTTTGTGCCACTGTCTACACTTATACAAACTTGCCTCTGTAACTCCACGGTCACTCTACTTTTGCTAAAGAAACTAGAATACATTCTCTTATGCTTAATGAGAACCACGGAATTTTCAGGCTTTAGAGTTAGCAACTTTCTCATTTTATAGATGAACAAATTTAGGCCTGAAAGAAAAATGAAGTCAATCATTAAAAAAAAAAAATTGTTGAGGGTCTACTATGAGGCAGGCACTGTGATTCAAGGTGTATAATATGGGCTCTGCCCTTCTGTAGCTTGTACACCAGTAAGAAACAGGTAATTGTTAGTCCAAGAGTACGTAAATAAAAGCTTGGAGATGGAACCCATGAAAACTAACAAAAGGTATATCTTTATTTTGCTATATCCTTGTGGGCACATCTAGAGCTTTGTGACTTTTGCTTTGACACATATCCAGTGGGGTGGCCTTGGTCTTCATATCTAAAGCATGAAGTATTTGAACAGATTTTAGACAGGCCTGCCAGCTCAGATTCCCTTCTGTGAACAACAATATCCTCACAACCTGTATAGCATTGGTACCTCCTACAAGGACCCAGTGTCTCCACCACAGCACAGAAGACATTGGCAACATTTCTATCCACCACTGCCACCTAATGACTCTTTTGGGTGCTACCAGCTCTGGTTCTACTTCCTGATTTTAAACTGTGAGATTCAGGCTCCAGGCAGAGAGGTATTGACTGTGACCTCTAGGGTCCTGTTCTATCTTGGAAGCCTGTCTGATTCAACAATTACCTTTGATGTTAGAAGGCAATATTTTATCCACTAAAGAACAAGAGACCTAATTGAATCCAAATCAATAAGATTCTGATAAGGTCTTTCCAAAAACCGGAAAGAGAAAACACATTCAGAAGACTAAAAAGCACAATGTAAATGTAAAAAGCTTGGCAAATGGGGAGCGTGGCAGGCCAACAGCTGTGCTGAAGCAGTTGCCATGTATGAATATTGGTTATTCTTTTAATGATGGCTCTCCCCTCTGTAATCATGTACCACTTTCTTGCTAAACTCCCAAGACCACGTTTTCATTTCATTCTATTACAAATTACAATCTATGCTTAATGGAAACTTTTTCAGCTGTTATTTATTTCAGTATTGTGGAATGACCCCAAATTTTCTTCATATGTAATTTGGTATTCTTCAGCAGTGTGCCAAATTTGTCTATAGTTATCATGAAACAGACAAAGTGGATCATTGTCAAACGCTGATTGGAAGGAGAGCTCACTTTGCTCATTCTGTCACGTAACCATCAGAACCCTGGATTCCCTTCTCTTTCTAGGGTCGCAGAGCTGTTTAGTAACCCTACAGGCTTAGTGCTCGGACCTGTGGCATCTTTTTAAGGGCTATAAAAAATTTGACATGAAAATACTGTTTATTGACATACAAGAAAAGCACAAAATAAAATTTAATAATGTCTATGAAAGTGTACCATCTGTTTTTAAATTTAGGATTTATATGAATTATATTACATTTAAGAATAATTTGGGTCAGATTTTCTTTTCATTGTAAAAATTTCTCAGTATGGATGATGATTGCCAAGAAATCATAGCCAATCATAAAGTAAATGAGTTACTCATAGACGATTTGAAAAACAAAATTCTAAAAATCAGTTTCAAAGTTATAATGAAAACTTATTTTTATTATTGGATGTGGGGACATTTACATACATTTGATATAATTTTGGATCAGATTATGTTGATCTTTATAGGCTCTGAATATTCTTCAAAATTGTCTCCAAAGAACTAAAAGCATAGTCAGAAACTACCTGTTGCAAACACCAAATATTTTTCAATTCTCAAATCTTCAAATTTCTTAAGAAATAAATCTTAAAAGTTCATAAGAAATTTGTTTTCTATTTTGTTATAATCTATATTTGTTTAATTCTATTTTGAATTATCTGTCGTTGAGTTAAAATCATGTTCCGAGAAGAAGCACCGTATTGACATTATGGGTGTGTTTAAGTGTCTATGACATACCATCCCTGGGATGTGTGTGTTCTGCCATTTGAGACTGATAGCACCTGAGAAATGATGGCAGCAGTCCTCTTCTGTTTTTTCTTCTTCTTTTGAGGAAGATATTAAGAAATTATGATAGCAAATTGTAAGGCCTTTGATTTGATGGAAAGGTCTAAGGAGTTTGGGGGCGGGGATTCACCATATTTTCACATCATTTGCCTGTCGTGTAACAGTCTATGTACATTCGCAGGGGAAATAGAAAATATTCTCAGAATAATCTACGTTGTTCTCATTGCAAGAAGTTTCTAAGAATAAGCTCGAATTCCTCTTCCTCCAGTCCTCTGTAAAAGTAGACCCCAGACCCACTTCCAAAAGTACATGATCATTCCATGCTCCTGTTTTGTTTATATATATATATATATATGTATATATAGTTTTATATTATTATGTATAATATACATATTTATACATTAAATACTTTATTAT